GTGGATTTCGGAGATGCCGAGCGGCGGACCGCTGTTGCCCGCCCGGATACAGTGGAGCGAGCCCGGGTCGGACGCGGACTCGACCGACTACCTCCGCTTCCAGCGGCTGTTCGGCGTTGACGGAGACCTGGACGAGGAGGTCGAGAGGAGGAAAGGGTTGGACAGGAAATCGTGGAAGCCTCCGTTTCGCCTCCGCTTCCAGCGGCGGTTCGGCGAGGACGGGGACTTGGACGATGAGGTCGAGAGCTGGTCGGACGGGGCGAGGACGAAGGATAGATCCGTCCAGAGCGTTCCCCAGCGCTCTCAGAGCGTTCCGGAACGCTGTAAGAAGGCCGCGGCGCCCGACGCATCCTCCAGAGCCGCTGCATCTCAGAGGTTCTCGATGCATCCTCACCCGAACTTATCTCCGTCCTGGCTTCGTCCTACAGCCGAACCAAGGTATAAGATCGAGGTCGGTTCGGGGAGGGTACCCTAGGGTTCTTCGTGTTTGTTGGATGCTCTTGTGCATCCTGGGGAGGGTACCCTTGGATGTTCTGTGTGGTTGGGCTGGCGGAGGGTCTCAAGTTCTCGAGGGATGTTCTTCTGTCCTAGGTCCGACCGTAGGGGGGAAGGAGCAGAGCGGGCAGGCTTTCGACCCCCATGCAAAGGCGCCTTGGGCTCTCTCGGAGGGTACGCCACGCGGCCGAGGCGCCGAGGAGGGACGGGCCACGGCCGGGCACTCCTCTGGGCCAGCGAGGGGCTCCGCCGGTTCTGGCCCACCGCGCCTCGGCGCGACACGCTACACAGCAGTCCTTGGCATCGCTCGGACGTGTGCATGTTTCCTTCGGCGAGGACCATCGAGGAGCACTCTTGATCATCTGGCGAAAAGGCCACGCACGAAACCGAAAAAAGCAGGAAACGGACGTCCGAGCGATGGCCAGATTCGGGGGTCACCAAACGGGGTGGTGACCACGTCGTGCGGTGAGTCGGTGGGGATTCGGGGTCACCGCACGGTTTTGGGACCCGGGTCGTTCTCCGAGGACGTCTCGGGCGACTGGGGCATCCGAGGTCCCAAAGCCTTGCGTGGACGGACCGTGCGGTGAGGTCTTGGGGGATTTCGAGTTCACCGCATCACCGCACCGTTTCGGGACTCGAAAATGTCGACTACGGTCCTGAGGCGTCAACGTCCCGAGCTTTCCCGAGCCTCCGCTCTCGCGGAGCGGAGCGACACGCTATCCGCTCGCAAGGCATAGCGTGTCGCCGGGGCCGCCGTGTTGAGATGCTATGCTGGAGGTCCGATCGTAGATCGTAGATCACGCTTTGTTGCCGCTTCCCCCGTCATGGGTTTCATGTATAGCGGCGAGACGCGCCCAACAGCGCTCAACAGCACCAAACAGCGCCGAATGGCGCCTAGTGGCGCTCACATAGCGCCCAATGGCGCACATGTCGCACAATCTAGCGCCATGTAAGGGAGATGCAGTATGTCCGCTTTGTGCGCGATTGGGCGCGCTATTGGGCGCCACGGGACGACCAGACGCTTCCGCGAGATGCTTTCTGAGGACGCCGCTGCTCGTTCTGGAGAGGCCTCGCCGTCGCGGCTGGATTCTCCAAATTTTGGTCAGGAGGCGCCCAGGTAGAGGGTAGCTGTACACGCCGGGCGCCTTCCTACTTCAAGAATCGACACGCTTTTGCTGTGTGTGTGTGTTGTTATTATCTGGGAGGACCTGGACCCAATCTACTGTATCCGCCTTCCTACTTCATGTTTCTATCTACTTCTTCCGACCGACGTGTAGCTGTCGGAGGTGAGGGGGTGAGATCGAAGTGGAACGGAGAGCCCCCCTACCGGGAAATCGATTTCGGTTTCGTGTTCGTGCGTGCCGTGCGTGCGGGCGAGGCGAAGCTGCGTGGGCGGGCGAGAGGAAAGTCTTTTGTGGCTGAGGCGCGGCCGGACCGAATGATTCTCCACCGGGCGGCCGGTGGCGCGCGGTGTCCCGCCGGTGTCCCGGTGGTGTCCTCTGTGGCTGAGGCGCGGCTGGACCAAATGATTCTCCACTGGGCGGCCGATGGCGCGCGGTGTCCCGCCGGTGTCCCGCCAGTGTCCCGTCGGTGTCCCGATCATGATGTTGATGATGATGATTATGATGTTGATGATGGCGATGATGATGATGATGATGATGATGATGATGATGATGATGATGATGATGATGATGATGATGATGATGATGATGATGATGATGATGATGATGATGTTGGTGTTGTTGATGATGATGATGACGTCGATTGTGAGATCGATTGTGGTATCGATAGTGAGACCGAATGTGAGATCGATTGTGAGATCGTTAGTGAGATCGATTGTGAGATCGATAGTGAGATCGATAGTGAGACCGAATGTGAGACCGAATGTGAGATCGACTGTGAGATCGATTGTGAGATCGTTAGTGAGATCGACAGTGAGACCGAATGTGAGACCGAATGTGAGATCGATTGTGAGATCGATTGTGAGATCGATTGTGAGATCGATAGTGAGATCGATAGCGAGATCGATAGTGAGATCGATAGTGAGACCGAATGTGAGACCGAATGTGAGATCGACTGTGAGATCGATTGTGAGATCGATAGTGAGATCGACGGTGAGACCGAATGTGAGACCTAATGTGAGATCGATTGTGGGATCGATTGTGTGATCGACTGTGTGATCGATTGTGAGACCGATAGTGTGATCGATTGTGAGATCGATAGTGAGATCGATAGTGAGACCGAATGTGAGACCGAATGTGAGATCGATAGTGATATCGATAATGAGATCGAATGTGAGATCGATAGCGAGATCGATTGAGTGAGACGTTGGTTCCCCCTCCCCCCTCACCTCCTTATCACCCGCAGGGTGGTCGTATAGGTATCGGTATCTTTTTCGTTGGGGTTGCGAAAGGTGCCCCTGGCCCAAGGTGCCCCCAGCTTTCCGCTCAATCTTGGAGCCCTTGGGGCCCCTTGGGGGCCTCGTGAGGGGGCGCGCTGTAGGCCGTGGGGGCCTCCTTGGAAATCCTGGGAGCACCTTTGGCCAGGGGTACTTCTAGCAACACCCGATTGTGTTCGGCAGTGCGCGAGGGGGGGGGGAAGTGAGAGGGGGTGGGCCTTGTCAGAATGCTCGGAAGTCCCCCGGCCTTCTGAGAAGTTTCCTCTGCCTTCCCCGGACACGTAGGAAACTTCTCAGAAGGCGCGAGGGCGTCTGAGAAGTCCCGCCGCCTTCTGCGATGGTCTTCCCCTTCTTACTTCCCCCCTCGCTCGCCGCCGATCTTCCGCTTTCACCTCCTCATCCTCGTCCTCCTCCTCTTCGATCCTCGACCCGCCTCTTCGATCCTCGATTCTCTTCCTCTATCCTCGATCCTCCTCTTCGATCCTCGATCATCCTCGTCCTCCTCCTCCCCCCTGGATCCTCGGCCCTCCTCTTCGATCCTCGATTCTCCTCGCTCGCCGCCGATTTTGTTTCTCCAGAGGTCGGGGACGGCCGCCTGCAGAATGAGACCGAGCTTGCCCTCGTCCAGGAGCGGCAGGAGGCGATTTCTGTTGGGGGACCCTGGGCGTCGACGCCAGCACCGAGATTCCGTGGCCCAAACAAGAAAGTCTCGACATGATCATCGATTAACAACGGCTCTTCACCTTATCTTTGGAGGTAGGAAAGGGGTGTGGTATAAAGGGTGTGACGCTAATTTCACGTAAAGGGGGATATGGCGATGTTATATATCGCAGATTGAATCGCCATTTGCACGATTGGCACCATACCCCTCTATGCCACACCCCTTTCCCGACCTCAAAGTTATCGGCATGCATCGAAGAAAGACGGAACAGCGTTACAAGGGTCTAATAAGAATGTTGTTGCCGACATGGGGACCGACATGATAACCAAACAAGAACGTTTCGACATGAATCGACCACGGGCGTTTACAGATACTTTTTCGGAGTTCCCCGCGGATTTCTGCGCTGGGACCCCCCTGACGACGCCTCTGTCGCCGCCCTTGGCGCGCTCCGCGCGCCAGGGAGGGGTCCAACGCCAATCCATCCAAGAGGTCCGCGCCGAGCTCAGACATCTTACGTTGATGCGTGTGTTTCTCTTTGCAGTTCTGTGCCTCGGAGGTCGAAACCAGCATCCAGGCCCCGTGGCTCAGACGAGAGCGTTTGGACACGATGGGATGTTGTGTATTCTTTGGTGCCGATGCCGACGTTCTGCCCCAACACCAGTGGCAGCGGGGATTGGCTCAGGGGGGGATGCACCGCCACCCCCCGAGCGCCCGTGTGTCGCCGACAGGGGCCGGACAGCCCGAAACCCCGCCTAGCGGCTGCGTTGTCGGGAGCCTGTCGCTGATCTGCCGGCGACGCATCGCCGATTCCAGCTCGATGTTCCCCCCTGAGACGGTCCTTCCCTCACGCTCCCCCCCTCCGAGGGCGCCCCCGAGGGCGCGGAGTCCTTCGCGCTCCGCGGCGGCTCGGCTCCGACTCCTCCTCCTCGTCCTCTCCTCCCCCTGGGGTGGCGGGTCGCGAGGGCGCGCAGCTGCACTCGCGCTTTTGGCGCTCCGCGCGCCGCGCGCAGCGCGCAGCTGGGCGCCGCTGCCCCCCCACACACCAGGCGAAGAACCGGCTCCGCTCAGAGGAGGTCAGGAGGCTCGGGCCGGGCGAAAGGGGGGGATTGGGAAAGGGGGGGTTACGAAATTTGCTGCATGCAGCTGGTTTCGGCCTCACCGAGGGGCCCATTCCTCGATACATAGCCGCCTCCGGCGCCGGGAGGCGCCGGGAAAATCAGCTACGGGAGCTGATTCTCAAACCCCCCCTTTGCTATCCCCCCCTTTCGCCCGACCCGAGAGGCTGGCCGAGGCGGCGATCGTCGGGGGCAGCGTCTCCAGGGGCTCGGTGCGCGCGGCCGTCGACTCGCCCGAGGCGGGGGCGAGAGCCGGCCCAATATACCGCCCTTAGAGACGGCCAGTTCTCCAGCAGTGGCGAGGCTTCCTGGGCTGCCTACCCTCCAGAGTGCAACTTCGGTGAGGTTACATCTCGTGTCGGCGCTGGTATTCTCGCGGTCGACAACAGGCTTACTCTGGGCCGATCCGGCTCAATCTGGCTGGATACCGCCGAATCCCGCATCAGTTGGCCTTGGCATCGCTCGGACGTGTGCATTTATTCTCGGCGAGCACCATCGAGGAGCATCTTGGATCATCGAGCAACCGAAACACGCACCAGACCAACAACTGCACGGGAATTGCACGTCCCAACGATTGCAAGCATGTTAATTTGGCCTGATCCTTGGCGTACTTTGGCCTCACCTGGTGAAGTGGCCTTCTAGCCGCGGAATCGTTCCAGCGAAGACCTCCCAGGAGTTGCCTCCCAAGTATTCTGAGCCCTTCCTCGCTGATCGGCGGCTCGGGCATCTCGATGGGCGGCAGGGGTAGGGCTCGGAATCCGTTGGCCACGCCGTGGAGTCCGAACCCTGCCCCTCCCTCGCATCGATTCGGGAGGATCGATGGTTGGCGGGGGTAGTTCGGGTTCGCATGTCGCCACCCAGAGGCAGGAGCCCAGGAGGCCGCAAAAGACGGCCCCAGGATTGGCCCCAAGAGGGGGACACCGAAGGGGCTTCTCGAGCCCTTGGACCCTGAGATCCGACGGTGCGAAAACAGTGCAGCATCGTCAAAATCACGACAGGAGACCCGAACCTCATCTTTCTAAGCTGAGGCATTTTAGAGCCGAATCAGTCTATGATCATCCTGGGGCCCGAAACCAGGCGAAAACGCCCTGTGCCCAACAACTGCAACGCCGGGGTCTCTGGGGCTCCAAGATGTCCCCAGAAGGCCCCAAGAGAACGCCCCCCTCTGGCACCGCTGACTTCAGGAGGTCTTTAGTTTTGCATCCGCTCCTGTTTCTCTCGGTGGGGAATGAGTTCCGCCCCTGCTAGTGCTCCTCCTCCTCTTCTGCGGGATCTCGCTGCGCGAGGGGGCCCGTTTCCATGCCATTCCTCTTCCGCGGGTGTTGTTGTGCGGCGGGTGCCACGGATGAATGACCATTTTCAAGTATTGGTGTGACCCCAGTCCGTCATCCAGGGCGTCGAAACCATAGTTTCGTTGTTTCCAACTATTGGGGCGGGCGGGTCCTAAAGACCTATGCAGGTTGAGCCTCCGCCAGGCTCGGTCCTGGCCCGGGCGGATCTCTTGAGACTCGTGGCCCTGGTCGGCCTGGCGGGGGCGTAGTTGGTGGCCCCTTTGGGGATTTGGCCCCGACTGCGGCCCCGACTGCGGCCTCCTCGAGGCTCGCTCGCGGAGGGGTGAGCGTTTTTATCCTCCCGGGCACGAGGGAGGAGGGACTGCAGGGGAGACGACGAGGAGGAGGAGGAGGAGGAGGAGGAGGAGGACGGAGGAGCAGGAGGACGGAGGAGGAGGAGGAGGAGGAGGAGGGGAGCAGGAGCAGGGAGCAGGAAGCAGGAGCCGGAGCAGGGAGTAGAGGAGGAGGAGGGGAGGAGGAGGAGGAAGGAGGAGGAGGAGGAGGGAGGAGGGAGGAGGAGGAGGGAGGAGGGAGGAGGGAGGAGGGAGGAGGGAGTAGGGAAGGAGGGAGGAGGGCAGGAGGAGGAGGGAGGAGGGAGGAGGGAGGAGGGATGAGGAGGGGAGGAGGGAGGAGGGAGGAGGAGGAGGGATGAGGGAGGAGGGAGGAGGAGGAGGGAGGAGGGAGGAGGGAGGAGGAGGAGGAGGAGGAGGAGAGGAGGAGGAGGCGGAGGAGGAGGAGGAGGAGGAGGAGGAGGAGGAGGAGGAGGAGGAGGAGGAGGAGGAGGAGAGGAGGAGAGGAGGAGGAGGAGGAAGGAGGAGGAGGATGAGAGGAGGAGGAGGAGGAGGAGGAGGAGGAGGAGGAGGAGGAGGAGGAGAGGAGGAGGAGAGGAGGAGGAGGAGGAGGAGGAGGAGGAGGAGGAGGAGGAGGAGGAGGAGGAGGAGGAGGAGGAGGAGGAGGAGGAGGAGGAGGAGGAGGAGGAGAGGAGGAGGAGGAGGAGGAGGAGGAGGCGGAGGAGGAGGAGGAGGAGAGGAGGAGGAGGAGGAGGAGGAGGAGGGAGGAGGAGGGGAGGAGGAGGAGGGAGGAGGTGAGGAGAGGAGGAGGAGGAGGGGAGGAGGAGGAGGAGGGAGGAGGGAGGAGGAGGAGGCAGGAGGAGGAGGAGGAGGAGGAGGGAGGAGGAGGAGGAGGAGGAGGAGGAGGAGGAGGAGAGGAGGAGGAGGAGGAGGAGGAGGCGGAAGGAGGAGGAGGAGGAGGCGGAGGAGGAGGAGGAAGGAGGAGGAGGGAGGAATGAGGGGAGTAGGAGGAGGAGCGGGAGGAAGGAGGAAGGAGGAGGAGGAGGAGGAGAGGATGAGGAGGAGGAGGAGGAGGAGGAGGAGGAGGAGGGGGGAGGAGGGAGGAGGAGGAGGGAGGAGGGAGGAGGGAGGAGGGAGGAAGGAAGAGGGAGGGAGGAGGGAGGAGGGAGGAGGGAGGAGGGATTGTGCTAGGATTGTGCTATCTAGGACTTACGCAGATGGAGAGCACCACGCAAGCCGCCTTCGCCGTGCAAGTTAGTACTTACAAGGGCTTCCCTGTGGATGGATGGCGGCCCTCCCACAATCGCGTCAGTCGACCCTTGGCCGTCCGAGCTCGGGCGGGCTTACAGCCCTCCTTCACAAGGTTCGTCCACTTACACTGAGCGTAGGAAGCGCATCGCCTGCAGAATACAAAATTGGGGCGGAACACGAGGTGGTGTCCTAGCCCCTGTGCCTTAAGGATGCGTGCTTCTCGGGCTTCGAATTCGACAGATTCTGCGCCCGACGGTCCGCTCTGAGTCTGACTTGTGGCCCTGGGAGCGTGACGGTCCCTGGGGCCCACAGACGGGGGAGGGGGAGGCACCAGAGGAGGAGCAGGATTCGACTCGGCGGCCTGACTCGGGTCTGGTCCTCTGATGCTGCTCGGTTCGACATCGGTAATCGTATCGACGACTTCGGACGACATTGCGCCGAGCCTTACAGCAAATTCCAGGGCATCTGATACCATGGTATACTTCTGCTGATATGCCTGACGCTGCCAGAAAGGGTGTGCACAGAAATTAGCCCCCTTTCTTCGCGCATGTATCCGCGAAGCGGTTGTCTTTGAACAGTCTCTCGCCAATCTCTCGCCGCTGGACTCGAGTGGCGTGTGCTTTTATTTTTAGTATCTGGATGGTCCTGGGGCCCAGCCCTCCAAGATCGTTCACCAGAAACCAAAACTCGCGCCAGAGATCACTGTGTGCCCTGGCAGGTGACGAGCACCACTCCTCCCCTCTGGACGCTCCGTCTACTACAGCCTGGCAGCCACAATAGATTTTGAGGGGCGGCATCGCGCTCCTCAGCACCTGAAGGATAGCGTACAGCTCTGACGGGTATATCCCTTGCCGATTTTGTGGCAAGGGGGAGGGGGGCGAAAGCAGAAAAAGCAAGGCTCTCCCCTGAGGCGTCAAGGGTGGCGAAGTTCCACCCCGCACGCCGAAGGGGAATAAACTCACCGTGCAAGAGAGATCCGTCTGTGAAAACCTCTCCTGTGATGACTCCTGGATGTTCGCCCTCATGTTGGACCTCGAACGAGACTGGCAGAACATCCAGGAGCTCAACAGGGTCTTCGGAGATACCTCTGGCCCAGAGGGATTCGAAACCTGGGAACGGGTTTGCTCCTCTATGCTGCACGTGCCTGCCGCCCACACGCCTGCGCATCACATCACGCGCGCTGCATACACACGTGCGGTGCAAGTCAGTACCTACAGCATTCATACATGCCTGACACTGGTCGGTCGTCGCACGACCAGCCTTACATATTCTCTGTTGGGGCCGCGTGCCCCCCGTAAACAAGGTTCGGGCCCGCGCGCGATGCCCCGCAGTCCACTTTTCAGACGGGGGCCTGCGGAGCAGCATTCTTATCGGCTCCAGAAAGACATTCTTAGAGACATTCACCTCAGGACCCCAACGCGCAAGCCAGCCGTTCTGCAGCCCAGAATGTGTGGCCTGGCGCACGAGGGAGTGAAGGTAGTACAAATCTATATGTGCCAAATCGTGCACCTCGGTCCCGCATGTGACTGTAGCTGGACTCTGGGTGCTCCAACCAAGGCGAATTACTGTTGCAATGAACGCACCTGCTGGCCGTCCCACTAGGCCCCACGGCCTCGGATGCCCGTGGAGTCGCATGACCCACGAGCGCCAGCTCGCCACCAGGAGGTCCCGCGTGGCCATGTCCGTCGCCTCCTGCCACGCCCTGGCCCGCTCCACGATGGGCCCAGCGTTGGCGATCACGGCAGGGTCCGCGTCCTCCGCCAGCAGCGCCAGCGCGGCCGACCTCCCCTTGTTGCAGCCAGGGAAAGCCGCCGCCACAGTCTTCCTGAGCGTGGTGATCAGCGTGTCCGTGGCGCCCTGAACGCGTGTGCCGTAGAGCTCCGACGGCGCGATCCCGAGCTTGACCACCTTCTCCGCTGCGCCCCCTGCGGCCTTGGCCCGCTGGATCTTCCAGCTCCTGGCCTTGGCCTTCATGATCCTCTTGGACTGGGCTCCGACACGTCGCCGCCGCGCAGCTGACTGGGTCACGCCCAAATGCACGGCTTCACGCACCACCTGAATGCCCATCTGTTTGTTCTGGCTGCCTAGCTGCCGCTCCACCCTGCCATGCGAGACCGCGACTACGGTCTTGCCGTCCCTGCCTCCCGAGACCTGCAGCTTGAGCACCTGCTCGAAGGCGAAGACGATCTCGCCGGTCAGCTTCATGTGGAGCGCCGCCACGGCGGCCACGTCGCCTCTGGTCGACGCCGCGAGGTCGTCGAAGTACAGGCACATGTCGGCCCTCGGGTTCGCGACATAGGGGTCGTCGGTGGCGCCGATAAAAACGAGGGGCAAACGCAGCGGGCCGAACACGGATCCTGCCACGATCCCTTGCGCCCAGAAGTTGCCCTCGGTGTAGCACCCATTCAGCACCACTCTCCTCATCCATGAAAATACTCTCAAGATGGCTCGCAGCAAGGGCTCTGGGAATCCCCAGCGCAGGCCACCGCTCCAAATGAGAGAATGCAGCACCGTCTCGTAGCACTTCCTCAAGTCGTAGTATGTGGTGGCGATGGCCTCGCCCTGTGCCAACGACCCGTCAGCTAGGAGGCCCTGCGCCCAGGCCGCACGTTCGGCAGACCTGCCCTTCACGGCCCAACCGTATGCTCGTGGATTTCTGTTTTGCCATTTCTGGATCTCGGGGCGCCTGATCTTCTCCCATACTCGTGCGAGCTCTGGTAGGAGCCCCAAATTCCTCATGCCGCCCTTGGGCTTGGGCCGAAGCCAGAAAATGATGCACTGCTGCGAGACGGGCCAATCATATCCGCGCTCGATGCAGTTCAGGATACTTGCCAGGCCTGCTAGGCCCACCGCTGGCCCTTGGGCCCACAGCCTGGGGTGGATGTTGGACTCGCCCAGGCCCGTCTTGGTGGAGAAAGCTTTGCAGGCGTGCAGCACGTGGTGGCCGAGGATAGGCGGTGGCATGGACTCGTCTACCGCAGGCGGCTCGAACCAGGGCGCTGCCCAGTCGACCTGGTAACGCCATATGCTCTCCCACTCCTGCAACGCTGTGTTGGCGGCTGTCTGCGGATCCATCATGGCGACGTGCTGGGGCGTCTCACCCGCGGGGGCCGTCTCTGGAGGCCCACC